ACCACTTTTACATATCAAAATCCACTTTAAACCATTATTAAAACAATAATACAGTAGCAGCAAACCGCTGCCGGTCAAGTTCCCGCCAATAGTCAAGCGTAGCTTGCTACATATATATTTATCTATGGTCAAGCGCCCACAAACTAACTAATAGATTCTACCAGAATCAGACCATAGATATAGTATTAAACTCGTAGACAGAGAAATATAGATAGACAAGACCTCAGCGTATGTCAGTAAGAGATAGCGATAGTTGGCCAAAGTACATTACTACAATTACATGTAATTTAAATTGACATTCTTAGACTTTTACCACCATTGTGTGGGTAATCTAGTTCTTTTTATTTCGGTTGGACTACGTCAACTACTAATTTAATTAATTTTATTTTCTATGGGGACGTATTTATGACTATTTGACTGTGCGTGAACTGAATGACTCCGGGATGAACATTAAGCGCGAAGAGAAATGAGTTGTAATGATCATTTTATTACAATTTATCTAAGATATCCTCTCAGAAGCCAATTTACATAATTTAGGACCGGGTTTAGTAAGCTCATGGGGCTTTCGAGTGTTTATTCTATATTTATAGCTCAACAGGTAAATAGTACAATAAAATAAATCATAATCAACTCATAGCCCCGAATGCATTCAGTTCGCGCATGTCGTCCCTTAGCTAACAACACCGCATAAGTCATTTTTACCAACTTTACAGGAGACGAAAAAATCTGTCCATTTTAAAAAATCGGCGGAAATTTTCTGTTGTTACCTTATACTCGTAAATGCCCTAGTTAGCGGTTAAGGAATAATTATTTATAATTATTTTGACTATATACTTTATTTTAACTTTTATTTTATGACTTGAGCTGTGTTGACTGATATTTTATTAGATTTAGGTGGAGTTGTTTGCGGAAATGTTAGGGAATAAGGTATTAATAGATGATTTACAACGAAAAGTTTTTATTACGAAATATTTCAGTAATAATTAACAATCGTTATAACATAGCTATCAACTCGTATAACCTAAGTCTTGCGAATCACACGAACCTTTAGAGCGTATGTGCAATTTTTTATTGTTATTTTAATTGGTAAATATTTAAAACATAGTCTTTAAAAATTCTAACGAAACTAGATATAATAATAACAAAATAATAAAAGTTAAAAGTTATACTCGAAATCTCTAGTCTAATAGTTAGTTGCAGTCTTTAGCGATTGCTGTGCGGAAGTTCATCATAAAAAGAGTGGCAACTAGTTGGTAATACACTTTTTAGATCTTGCAAATCTTCACACTTCCGCTTTGTAATTGGTATTCTAGCTGCATACAATTTCTGCAGGTGATTTATTTGTTTAATGCTGTTAATTGGCGTGGGACGATGTGGTAACGGATGAAGCTCGTCAACAAAATCAGTTTTGTACCAAATTGTGCCATTTCGTATGTATTTCAGCATACGTACATCTGTGACGACTGGGTCACTGTCCTTTAACCAGGCCGTATAGATTTATAAATTAATTCTTTCGAAAAGTCGATAAAAAGGTATAGTCCAAATAACAAGCTTCATTAGGCATATGATCCCTCCCAGCTGTTTTAGTTATAGCCATGTGTTGTTGTGAAAGGTAGGCCCAATTCTGGCCATGAAACGCCCAACAATTTGCATTTGTTAAAAATTACATCTATTTTATGGTAATTAATCGCGGTATTTATGTATCCAAAAAAGATTGCAATATTTTTGACACAAGAAAAAGTACTGAAAAGATAAAAATGAAATTAGTTAAATCCGCAAGTTATTAGATTGTGGGTAAAATAAGAAGTATTGTCAATCACAAATCTCCTTAAAGTCTTTTCAGTTTTTTAATCAATTTTTTATGGTTTATGATTTTTCATTATTATAATGGTAATATTATTTTTCGATATTTATTAGGATGTAATTGCTAGTTGAACGCTACTGCACAATTTAACTGTTATTCTTTTCTGTTATTAAAATACATTTAAAATGGAATTTAAATAAATAAATAAAGCATATTTTAAAACGCGTGCAGAACTTAAAGCGATTATTCTTTTTTATGAAATTATAAACAGAATAAAAAAATCGTTATCTATTTATCGATTTTATGTCTGTTAAGTGGCAACATCGAATCTGACAGCTAGGCCCATGTCATAATTATCAAAACTAAATAGTTACAAGCACAAATTATAAAGTTGTATGTACAAGAGTCACAAGGCTAAAGTTAAGTAAGCGCATCTACGGAAACGGAAACTAGTAAATACTCTGTGTGACTCTCATGAAATACTTGACGCTGGCAGAATCCATTGGAAGTTGCCAAACTAGGAAAAAAAATAGTCATAAGGCGAATTCCTTTGCATTTGTGTTATTTTGTTTGTTTTCTCGCGGATTTGTTATCTTAGCAACGAATAAGCTTTCTAAATGGACTCCGATTCTCACCCTATTGACCACGGCGGTACGACTTTCCATTGACGTCAGTGGAGTTTGGTGTTGATACGTATTTTTACAGAAAGATTACACTATTATAAGCACACACACAAAGTCTCAATATACGGAAACGCGTAATTTTTGAGAAAATAATAATTGAAAATCAATTATTCTTGCAATGTTTATGTCTAATCTGCTAATAAACTGGCGCCATTTTGTAATGTCATTGTCGACGTCAATAGGGATGTCGATTCTTTCCGAAAAAGGTCGATTTTTAAATCGATGCAAATCGTAAGCTGATGTATCGATTCCCAAAAACTCGATTTCTAAAATATCGATATTTTTTTCATGTTTGTATTTATAATGTAAATATAAATCCATTTTATGAAAAAAAAATCCCCTTCATCATAAAAAAATAAAGGGACTGATTCATAAGGATTTCTATATCTATTTTGAGACTGCAACGTCTCCGGCGCTGCGGGAAGAGCAACCTCTACGCCTTAGCGTAACAAATCGCTGGCATCCCTCCTCGCCTCCGCAGCTTCGGCTTGTTGGTCGCCTTCGGCGACCAGCCTCAGCCGCTCCGGCTCGTCCGATGCCTACGATTTGTTACAGCAGGCGGAGGCTGCTCCCCCTACGCGCCTCCGGCTCTATAAAACCACTCTAGGGGTAGGACAGACTCGTACCAGGTGGAGTCGGGGTCAATCAATTCGGTTCTTTGACATAAGTTGAACCTAACCTATTTTATTTGTTATCTGCCCTAATAGGTAGTTAAATAAAACAAATTTCAATAAGAGATCATTTATCATGGTATCTTTCTTGTTTTTCATAAAATGGGTTTATATTTACATTATAAATAGAAACATTAAAAACATATAGACATTTTAGAAATCGATTTTTTGTGAACCGATACATCAGCTTACGATTTGAATCGATTTAAAAATCGACCTTTTTCGGAAAGAATCGACATCCCTATTGACGTCGACAATGACATTACAAAATGGCGCCAGTTTATTAGCAAATTAGACGTAAACATTGCAAGAATAATTGATTTTCAATTATTCTTTTCTCAAAAATTACGCGTTTCCGTATATTGAGACATTGTGTGTGTGCTTATAATAGTGTAATCTTTCTGGAATAATACGTATCAACACCAAACTCCACTGACGTCAATGGAAAGCTAAGCCACCACGGCCTGAAAATGGATCCCGCTCCCACTTCTTACGATAACCTCTGCACGATCTTGGACTCGATATCCACTGTTAACGATGACCCCAGCTTTCACACCGGCCAGAGTTCTTCCAAGCTCTCAGAAACTTATTCAAGAGGACATTTACGCTGTGTTAATTGTGGTTTAAATGTCACGAAAATACAGTCATTTTTTTGTTAAAAAACTGTTCTTGTGAAAATAAAAAACCTTATATCTTAAAAATCCGGACTTTTTTTAAACCAATTTCTTAATCATTTCATTCTTTTATTCGCATATTATCATTTTCATACGCTTTTATATGTGGGCACCCATGGCCGAAGTGTCTATGAACAGTGGGCATTCCCCTTTATAATAATTTTACCTTTTAATTTACACTCTATTGCACTGTGTACGGAATTTAATTCTATGTGGGAATGGCCTTTTTCCAGGTACTTTTGAGTAACCACAATATTTTTTTCAAACGCTAAACGTAATAAAACATTGCTTAAGATAAAATTGCGATTTTGAGCACAACAGCCATCGGAATATAAAATCACAGACAATAATTTCTGACTCAAAACCTTCTCTAGATGGTCTACTAAGCATGAAGCAAAAACAGAGGCTTCAAGCGTGCCATTTGACTCATCGTACCTGTTTACGCCCTCAGTTGCCCCGACAAAAGTCGACTATCCTGTGCCCATCAGCGGAACACTCGACGAGCAACCAAGGGTGAAGCCCAATGGCCTATGGACAATTATTCTATAGATATATAAGAGGCTTCCTTTTACACGCGCAAAACGACTGTCTCGTGGGGCGCAACGCCTCGGCAAACGAGTCCCGTTATCTACACGTCATGCCGGCCAGGAATGCACCGCGTAGCGCGCTTCGTAATATTGTTTTTGAAATTTAGCATTTGGCGCAAACAAAACCAATAACACATTACTTTCTTAGTTGCTAAATTGTATAATGTAAAATTCTAGACGCATCATTTAGTTTTATAATAAATAGCACTGGCTTGAAGATACGGGGCTAATTTTACCGATTCAACATCCTGCATGAATACGTGACAAGCTCCGGCTGTGCAATACCTTTGTCAGTATCTTTGTCTTTATCTCTAGTATCTGGCTCGGTGTTTTTTCAAAACATGTTGAGCGTATTTTTCATGGATAATGCTTCCAGTTTTATAACTGCAACAAACGTCACACTGATCTCTCTTCGGGTGGAATAAGCTCAGATTGAGTTTCAAAAATAATTTGTCAAATAATTTACCGTCAAGGAATTCTCTACTCTCTAACTCACAATTCTCTTTATATGTGTTATAGAGCTGTGTTATGCTCGAGAAAATTGTCGGGAATATAACATAAGTTAATTAAACGCGATAAAATCCGTAAAAGTAGTTTTATTCAATGAGAAATTTGGTTCTAAATATTCTCAAGATGATTTAGCACGACAGTAATGCGATTTCCTCTGGATTCCTGCGATTTCTGGATTCTGGATTACTGGTTGAAGTAGACAAATCGGGAGAACTAGCACAGTCTGTTTTTGTCGCCCAATATCTGACAAACCAATCCTTAATGCCAAGAGTGGCCAAGAACATTTTTTTACAGACTTGGTGGCGTACATTATCAGTCGTCAAAACATAAGTTCAACTATCAGTTCTTTTGGACGTTTCTGGATTTTTTGTAATTTTCTTTGGTACTTTATTAACGTGAGAAGTTATAAATGATCTTTGTTGCTCCCAGTTCATGTACTTCCAGAAAGTTTCAAACAAATATTGGCGCTGTTGTTCGTTTATGTTGTCACATAATCTGAGTTTCGATTTCTTGCAAAAGGCAGAAGTGCATGGTGGTTTCATGAATCATTTCATCATTCATTCATTACAGCCCTTCACAAGTCCACTGCTGAACATAGGCCTCCCCCAAAGAATGCCACAAAGCACGGTCCTGAGCCACCTGCATCCATCGACTTCCTGCATATCTTACCAGGTCGTCACTCCATCTAGTGGGGGGACGCCCTATACTTCGCCTGCCGGTACGAGGCTGCCACTCGAGAACCTTTCTTCCCCATCGGTTGTCGGTTTTTCGAGCTATATGGCCGGCCCATTGCCACTTCAGCTTACTAATCCGTTGGGCTATGTCGGTCACTCTGGTTCTACTGCGGATATCCTCATTTCTGAGTTTATCACGCAGAGAAACTCCGAGCATAGCCCTCTCCATAGCTCGTTGAGCGACCTTGAGCTTCCTCATCCGGCCAGCAGTGAAGGACCACGTCTCAGTTCCGTATGTCATCACTGGCAACACGCACTGGGTGTACAGTCTCGTTTTCAAGTTTTGAGGTATACCTGACGAGAAGATGTGCCGTAATTTCTCGAACGCTGCCCAACCGAGTTGAATCCGTCGATTGACCTCTCGGTCGTAGTTGGACTTACCTAGTCGGACTATTTGTCCCAGGTAAACATACTCGTCAACAACTTCGAGCTTAGTGTTCCCAACAACTACCGGCATAGGTGTGACATGGACATTAAACATGATCTTTGTTTTGTCCATGTTCATCTTAAGACCTATCCGTTGGGAAACACTATTGAGGTCATTGAGCATAGTGCTTAGGTCCTCCAGCGATTCTGCCATAAGGACTATATCGTCGGCAAATCGAAGGTGAGTGATGTACTCGCCATTGATGTTGATACCGTATCCTTTCCAGTCCAGAAGCTTGAAAACATCTTCCAATGCAGCGGTAAAGAGTTTCGGGGATATGACGTCACCCTGTCTTACACCTCTCTGCAATTGGATAGGTTTCGTACTCTGGTTCTGTACTCGGATAGCCATCGTAGCCCTACTGTACAAGCACTTCAACACTTCGATATACCGACAGTCAACTTGGCATCGCTGAAGGGACTGCAGCACCGCCCAAATTTCGACGGAATCAAAGGCTTTCTCATAGTCCACATACGCCAGACATAGTGGCAAATTGTACTCCTCGGACTTCTGTACAATTTGCCGAAGGGTATGTATGTGGTCTATGGTGCTAAAGCCTTTTCGGAAACCGGCTTGTTCGGGAGGCTGGAAGTCGTCAAGTCTGCGCGCGAGACGATTCGTGATGACTCTCGAAAACAGCACGTAGACGCGGCTCAGAAGGGAAATCGGTCTGTAGTTCTTCAAGAGAGCGTTGTCGCCTTTCTTGAAGAACAAGACCACCGCACTTCTGCTCCACGCCTCCGGTGTAATGCCACCATGGAGGACGGAATTAAAGAGCTTCTGAAGGACTTCAAGTACCGGTTTTCCACCCGCTTTCAGAAGCTCCGCTGTAATTCCATCCTGGCCTGGGGCCTTGCCGTTTTTAAGGTGCTGGAGAGCCATTCTAATCTCGCTCAGACTGACGTCCGGGATATCATCGGAATAATGTCTGATAAGACTCGCTCTTTGATCGTTACTCACACTTGCGTGTGGCTCCAACGATGACGTGTACAGCTGCCCATAGAACCTCTCAATCTCACTCAAAATCTCAGGTGCCCCGGAAACGATGCTGCCACACTCCGTCTTCAGCTTTGACAGTTGGCTCTTTCTGGCAGACAGATCTCTGGCAAAGGTTTCATGAATCTTGCAGGCGTAAATACGTCAAGTTCCAGTTTAAATTTTTTATTAGTCTTTGCTTTTCTGTCTCTTCTGTAGCGTAAATAATTTTCACCTTTCATCCGGAATTCTTTATTAACATTGCGTTTATATTTCTTTGGATCTCTTGTCGCCTTGTTCTGTCGTTTCTTATGACTTTACAAATCGTGATATGGAACATTACTGAGTATGATCACTTTTGAAGAACAGACGGAGTAGCAGAGGCACTGGATTGCTGCATATTGTTCTGGTTTACATTATTTTTATCTGTACATTGAGTATTGTTTTCATTATCAATGACTATATCAGAAATTGGGTCTTGAGTATTCGTAGATATGAGAATTACTTGGTTTGAAGTAGGGAAACATTCGTAATGATTTAATTTTATAGAATTTATATTGATGACAATACTTCCTAGTTCTTGCATAACATTCTCACTTTCTACCGTGATAATGGCAACATTCAATACAGAAGGCTGAGGAAACTCGATGGCCACCGTATCGAATTCGGGTGGCTCCTGTTGCACATCGAAGAAGTCATTACCAACTATTTCTATAACTTGTAGACTGTTAATGTCAGTGTTTTCAATATCCAAGTCTATGTTTTGATCAAATATTTTTTTTTTATATTGTCCTGGCTTCTTATTATACTTTTCATGGACCCTCCGAAGTTTTGTTCGTTCATTGGTCTTGCAATAATTTGGTATTTATTTGGAGAATTGCATGCTTTGATATCAGAAGAACTAGTGTTATCTTTTTGATTGAAATCTAAAAAAAAAATAGTAGGACTTATTGCATTAAAAATATAAACAACAGAAAAATAAATGCGGACCTCAAAACAAACCTATGCTACTAACCTAGTTTAATTATTTTTCTATCTTCTTTGCAACTTAGTTTACGCTGTTTATATTTTGACAACAGTCCTGCTTCTTGTAATTGTGCACATAATAATTCATGACCTGAACTCGGATTACTCCAGGAATCAATTTCTTCTCTATCCATAGTGTATTTCAATTACTGAGCTTCCTAAAAGAAATAAAATACATTTTGAAACACCGCCTAAGATAAGTCATCGCGCGCTCTGACTAGATACCGCGCTCCCTGCAAGTAACAACTCCGTGAATGCGGCATCTTAATATTGTAGTGTGTATAAGACAATTTGCAAGATGCTTGTGTGCGTGAAAAATTGTATATGCCAGCAGCTTAACTATTACCCGATTAACGGGAAAATTTATTTTATGCTATGGCTTAGTAGTTAAGTTCATAGTTATGAATGTATTCCAGAAATACTTAAAAATGAATAGTTTATTAATAACGAATGTATCAATATATTTGTGTATATTATGTATAGGTTTTTCTTCTGAATAAATGACATATAAATGATTAGGCCTCCTTTTTATCAGTTTAATTTTTTTATTTTAAAAATAGTTATATATATGGTGTAATCGAAATAGTGTTTTCTATTCTACGCGTCAATGTGAACAACTTTTACTATAGATCTATCTTCCAAATCGCAAGAAAAATCAGGTTTTCCATACATTTTGACCAAGTTTATACGAAATTTTGTATGGAATAACTGACTTTGAGACATTTTTTATAGGATCAGGGTGACAAACGAGCACTCAGTCCACCTGATGGTAAGTGGTTGCTGTGGCCCATAGACATATACATCTATCCTCGGTTAAGAATCAAAATGCAGATCCGTTGTAACCCCTGAGGACTAGGATGGAATGCCTCGTTTCCAGTAAAAAGGGTCTCCCGTTCTCTACACTCACCATACGAAACACAGTAGCATTAAGCTGCTATTTTACGCAGGTATTTTGTGAGAGCGTGGTCCTTCTTCGGTCTAGCTGACCCATTCGTGCAGCAAGGATCTACCACATTTGATGATGATGAGGTCTAAAAATGTGAATTTCGAAATATCCATGAGGTCATTCTTCTCTAGTAATATTCAAACAGTAAAAACACTGTGTAAGAAAATACACTAGCCCATATCATCCTGTGGGTGTCGTAAGAAGTGAAAGAGGGACACAAATCAGGAGCTGGGCAGCAGCGCCTTCCTAATATCGACTAAAATAAAAATAAACCCACCAGCTTGCCAAGTGTAGTGACTATGCCAAATGTCCCCCCTATGACGCAATATATGGGGGAGGCCTATGTCCAGCAGTGTAATAGACTGTAATGGTAACAGCAACCTAATAAAAACAATGTTCACACGTTAAAATAAATAGCAAAATCATTTCCTTCATTAGCGTAAGATAATCTATAAGATCAAAGTAAACCTAAGATTTAAAAAAAAAAACAAAAGTAGTGATGTAAATGTCTTTCACTTTAATTTATAGTTAGCTGCCACGGCTAATAAGCTAGGCTACTTTTGTATTAGAAAAAGAATTAGGGTTCCGCGCAAAAAAATAAAAACCCCAAATAACACGCGGGCGAAGTCGCGTGGAACAGCTAGTATGAAATAAATTAATAACTCGACTACAAAAGTCATCTTGTGTAGAATAATAGAACGAGTAGAAAAACCTTTCCGTGCCTTGTATTGTGCTAATTGAAACTGCATTTATTTTGAAGAAGCTGATTCAAAAACCAAAAAAATTGAATTTTCAAATACGAAACAAATGGGAGGTCAGTGGCAACAGACCAGACCATGTTTTTTTTTTATTTAATTGATTGCTAACGTTTTCTTTTTTCGTTTCGTCGTTTATCGTTATTGTTAAAGTCGACTGCTGAACATAGGCCTAGGGATATAGGGATATTTGCCATAGTTGCCACGCTTGGCAAGCGGGTTGGCAACACAGTTTTATTTATTTTATTACGAAGACGCTGCTACACGTCTCCTGATTTGTTTCTCTCTGTCGCCTCTCAGGACACACCAGATGAGACACGGCGTCCTAATCTATACAAATAAAAATAAAAACCCGCGGTTGCAAACCCAACATGCATGGCAACTATGGCAAATATCCCCCCTATGAGTCAATCCGTGGGGGAGGCCTATGTTCAGCAGCGGACTTTTATAGGCTGTAACGGTAACGATAAATGTCGAAACGAATAAATTAAAAAAAATGAGTATGATTTACATAAAATTAAAAAAAAACATGAAGTCTAGTCTGTTTCCACTAACCACTCGGTACATATCTCAAGGTTCGATTTCACTTGGTTGCTTCTTTGGTTTTTGAATTAGCTTCTTTAGAATAAATGCAGTTTCAATTAGCACATAAGGCACGGAAAGGTTTTTCTACTTGTTCTACAGTTAAGGAACTCATGACAAATGAATTTTTATCTAGTATACTTTTATATTTATATAAAACACGTTTACATAATATTGCACATATTTTACCAGATCTCTCACAAAAAAGGTTCTGCTCAAGAGTGTATGTTCATATGTGTTTGCAAACTACTTTTTGTAATACACTTATATTTACAGATATGACACGAAAAAGGTTTTTCTCCAGTATGTATTTTCATATGCTTTTGCAAATCACTTTTTGTAATACACTTATATTTACAGATATGACACGAAAAAGGTTTTTCTCCAGTATGTATTTTCAAATGCCTTTGCAAATAACATTTTTCTATACATTTATATTCACAGATATTACATGAAAAAGGTTTTTCTCCAGTATGGTTTTTCATATGCCTTTGCAAATTACTTTTGTCTATACATTTATATTCACAGATATTACATGAAAAAGGTTTTTCTCCAGTATGGTTTTTCATATGCCTTTGCAAATTACTTTTGTCTATACATTTATATTCACAGATATGACACGAAAAAGGTTTTTCTCCAGTATGTATTTTCATATGCTTTTGCAAATCACTTTTTGTAATACACTTATATTTACAGATATGACACGAAAAAGGTTTTTCTCCAGTATGTATTTTCAAATGCCTTTGCAAATAACATTTTTCTATACATTTATATTCACAGATATTACATGAAAAAGGTTTTTCTCCAGTATGTATTTTCATATGCCTTTGCAAATTACTTTTTTCTATACATTTATATTCACACATATTACATGAAAAAGGTTTTTCTCCAGTATGTATTTTCATATGTGTTTGCAAACTACTTTTTTCTATACATTTATATTCACAGATATTACATGAAAAAGGTTTTTCTCCAGTATGTATTTTCATATGTCTCTGCAAATGATTTTTTTTTACACTTTTATAATCACAATTATTACAACAGTACACTTGTTCAGCAACATGCGCTTTAAGATGTGCCAAAATGCAACGTTTTTGAGTTGTTTTAAATTCGCAAATATCACAATTAAATATTTCCGTTACTTGTGGTTGTGGTACTGGAGTTTGTTCAACTTGTGTCCGAACTGCAGTGGTGTTCTTTTGGTTCTTTTGCGTCTTATGACTGTATGAAATGTGTTTGGCGAGAATGTCTCTTGTTGAAAATTTTTTGCTACAACCATAACATTCAAAAATGTATTTTGTTGATGCCCCTGACGTTTTTTTCGTAAGTATATTTACACTCTTTTGTTTCAATATTTTCTTTCTCATAATATTTGCAGGATGCTTTCCTTTTTTATTAATTGGTTGATTATCTTTTTTGACTTTAGGCTTTGATTTAATAGTAGGGCTTTCTAAATCGAGGTTTCCTTTACGAACATCGTTTATGTTACAATTACAATCAGTAGAATTTGATTTAATCTTGCTCTCAGACGCTTTTGAAAAATGATTTGTTGGTATGATGTATGGTTCTGAAATACACACGAATTGAACATTTAATTTATTATAAGTAAAACTTTTTATTGTAAGACACCTTAAACGCATTCTCTATCAGTCAACCAGGGAGAAATAGATAAATTATAAAATTACATAATTATACAATGTTGCTAGATATAAAGTATTTTACTTTTAATAATGTCTCTCATAATAATTTTTGGAGGGAAAGAATGGAAGAGAAACTAAATTCGAATGATAATGATGACGTTCTTCTCACCATGTTACAATTACCTACATTAATCTAATAATAGATGCTTCGAATCGCACACGGGACAAGCATTATACAGAATGATTGGAAGATTGACTTGTTGATTGAAGAAGATCATTTAGGCCATAGTTATTTTAGACAAAGTCTGACTATACTTTTTGTTTTTGGTGATAAAACTAAAAATTTTACAGTTAATTGCTAATAATTGCCAATTTAATTAACGTGTTATTTTTTAATTTAAGTAATGAATAAGAAATCTAAGAAAACATAGTCTCAGCATCTGTGTCATCAGACATATTTTTGTACAGACACTAAGTTCACGAAAATTTTCTACAATTTAAAGAAACATAATTAACATTTTAAATAATAAACATTTTTGACACTACGTTAAAAAAACTGATGGTACTTTAATTTATTGTTAGAACCTTTTTGAAAACATGCTTGGTTATTACTCTATCATTTGAGGTATAACTTACACGCATTTGTTACAAATTTTTCAATTGTCCCCTAAAACCAGATTGAGGTAGAAAATTTAAATTTTTAGGCAGACTAATAAAAATTCTAATTATTTATTTGTTGATGCTCAAAATAACTGATGCGATTACTAACACAAGCACGGGCCCGTCGTCTCACTTCTGTTGTAGTTACTTTCAACATCATGGTTTCAAATGCTGAATCAATTCTTTGAAATTTGAAATTCCGGCCATATAGCTCATAGAAATGACAATGAATGAGGAAGTTTTACGAGTGGCAGCCTCGTACCAGTAGACAAAGTGTAGGGCGGCCCTCCATTAGATGGAATGATGAACTGGTAAGAAATGCAGGAAGGCAATGGCAGAAAATTCCGTGGCTGAGACCTATGTTCAGCAGTGGACTTGTGAAGGCTGTAATGATGAAGATTTAATGATGCAATGCGCTCATCTTTTCATTTTAATTTTTATAGGATAGGGTGACAAACGAGCACGCAGTCCACACGATG